TCTTCTAACCGGTTTGGTAGATTTGATGAACCAGTTCAACCAAATAGGTGCGAACTTGTAGGAACCCACCTCTGTTGTAGATGGTGCTACGGTGGAGGCCAAACCATTGTGACGCACAGGGGTGCATTCAAATGTCACTGCCTGCAATTAGGTGTTAGTATCGCTCCAGGACTATTCCAAAGCGTCATGGAATGGCTTTTGCAGGGGATTCCAGGAGTCGGCCCCTATTTTGACGATATCTTGGTATCGGCTGCAAATGTGGCGCAACTTTTAAAATGTGTACAAACAGTTTTGGCTCAAATTAGAGAAAAAGAGAAATGCCAAATTAACGTGCCAAGGGTTGAATTCCTAGGGTATCTAATCGATGGTTCTGGGATTCACCTGACTACCCAAAAAATTAAAGCTATTCAGGACGCCCCCACACCTCACAATCAAACTGAGATGCAGGCGTTCCTCGGGCTCCTTAATTTCTACAGCGTCTTTCTCAAACAGAAAGTCACCATTACACTGGCTAAGAACGTGAAGTAGTCCTGGGGCAGAGCTGAGGCTGTCACATTTTCTGTGGTAAAAAGACTCCTGTCAGCGGACTCCTTTCAATACAGCCAGACCCTGCCATTGGTGCTGACCTGCAACGCTTCTCCCTTCGGCATCGGCGCTGTCCTCAGCCACCACATGTCCAATGGAACCAAAGCCCCTATTGCATTTTACTCCAGGACCTTGTCTGCCTCAGAGCGGAACTACAGCCAGCTGGACTGTGAGGCTTTGGCTGCAGTGGCCGGAATAAAGAGGTTCCCCGAGTATCTATATGGCCGGGACTTTGAACTGGTTATGGACCACAAGCTGTTGTTGGGCTTACTGGCTGGGTACCGACCTATCCCAGTGTCACTATCATCGTGGATGACGAGGTGGACTATCTTCCTAGTTGCCTACTCCTACCACCTCATCCACCAACCAGCCTCCACTTTGGGGCACACTGATGTGTTGAGCCTCTGCCCGCTGCCTGAACTTCTCACTGATCCTATCCCTGAGATGTCAGTCCTCCTCATTGACTGCCTTGAGACTGGGCCTGTCTCGTCCAGTGAGGTTGCCCGGACTCCACCATCAAGCAACTTTTGAACTGGGTCTGGAGGGGGTGGCCCAAGGGGCCTGTTGGGGTTGATTTCAAAATGTATTTTGCCAAACATGATGAGTTATCAGTTGTAAACAGCTGTTTACTGTGGGGAGACCGGGTCATTGTTCCACCCAAATTGCGCATTGCAGTATTAGAGGCTTTACATGTAGGGCATCCTGGAATTGTCAGGATTAAGTCTTTGGCTAGGAGTTACATGTGGTGGCCTAACATGGACAGGGAGATCAAAGAATGGGTGGCTACCTGCACACTGTGCCAAGGGTCCAGACCAGCTCCCCCAGAGGCACTAGCTAAGGAGTGGGAGTGACCTCAAGCACCATAATCTAGGGTGCACATTGACTTTGCTGGCCCAGTTCATGGCCAGACATTTCTCGTAGTTCTGGACTCCTACTCGAAATAGTTAGAGGTAGTCCTGATGACCTCCATAATGGCAGAAGCGGTCATCAAGGTACTGCAGACACTTTTCTCCACGCACGGCCTGCCCGATGTCTTGGTCTCAGACAATGGGCCCCAATTCACGGCCATGCAATTTGAGACCTTCCTAGCAGCTCAGGGAATCAGGCATGCCCTGGTTGCGCCATTCCATCCGGCCTCCAATGGTCAGGCGGAGAGAATGGTGAGATCTGCAAAAGAGGCTCTCTCTAGGATGGGCCCAGGAGATTGGCAAACACGGGTTGACCACTATTTGCTAATTCAGTACATCACACCCAGTGCCACCACAGGGAGAAGCCCCTCCGAGCTTCTCATGGGTCGCCGGCTAAGGTCCCACTTAGACCGGCTACACCCAAATTATTCTGCCTCATCGCCCCCAGACTCCACAAGCAGGATTCAGACATTTAGCATAGGGGATTCGGTATACGCCCACAACTACACCGGGGGAACTCTGTGGATTCCTGCCACAGTGATAGGCATCAACGGCCCTCGCTCTTAACTATTAGAGCTCAAGGACGGTAGGAATTGGAGAAGGCATATTGACCAACTCCGTGGCCGTCTCTCCAACTCCACTCTTAGACAACCAGAGGTAATTCCTGCACGAGTTAGCCAAAGCCCTACCCAAACGGAGCAAACACTCACTCCTTCCATGGCCGGCTCAAGCCCGAGGCTACTGGGAAACTTATCTGGTTATGTTGCAGACCCGCAGTGAGCTCAGAGCGAACTGGCTCTAGAAGCTCCAGCCGCGGCCTGTGAAAGGTTCCAGAAGCTTCCACCAAGCGGAGCTGCAGAGCAAACAGGTCTGTCCGACCTGTCCAAGGAAACCCCTCCTACTGAACTGCGCAGGTCAGGCAGAGCTACCCCAAAGCCCGCCTACCTGAGTGACTACGTTACAAGTAGGATTTTTCCATCCAAGAGGGGAGGGGTGTTAGATATTAGTTCTAACTACAGAGGTTTCCACCAAGGTCCTCTGTTCCTTTGGGAACAGAGGTTTAATCCTATTGGTCGAAGGGTCTGACAGCTCCCTATAAAAGGTCAGCTGTCAGACTCAATCTTCACTGGATTGTTCTCACTTGTTGTACTTAATAATGAGCTGTTGTTACTGTTAAGCCTGTGTGTGCCTATCCATTACCCAATCGAACATCTGGGAA